GGCAGTGATGTCATTGGGTCAAAATCCTGGAACTCCCTTTGGAATAGCACTGTGGGTGTCCCTAAACTACCAAGGACTGCAATGATTCAAGAAACTAGCTCAGCACCATCTCCTCCAGGGCAACTAGGAATGGGCAATAAATACTGACCTGGCCAATGCCATTCACATCTCATGAATGAATAAAGAAAAACTGAAGCACAAAACTCATTCTCATCTTCTTAAGGCAACAAGAGATAAGCGGTGAAATCAGCTTTGCTTTTACCCTCAACCAAACAACAAAAAATTCAGAACTGGAACGTTCTGGTCTGTAAGGAAGTACTGTACTGGAAGTGGCTCTTTCTGTTTGACCTGCAGCAAGTCTAAAGCTAACATATTCCTTTTTAAAAAGAAGTTTATGTGTATTGGAATTTGTTACAAATGTAATCATTATTTGTAAGTTTAGAATATAAAAATACAACATAAATATGGATTTGCAAAATTGGAAAATGAGCAATTCTGGTAAATATCTGATAATACTTTATTAAAACAGAATTATTGCCAGACTCATAAATCATAGAAATATACCAGAATAGATTATCGAGTCTGTTCCACCATGCTGATTGGTAGTTTAACTGCATCTCCTCACATTGATTTCTATCCCCAAATGCCCTTGCCTAACAAATATTTGTCAATGTCAGATTTTAAATTTTCAATTGACCTTGTCTCAGCAGTCTTTGGGGAAGAAAGGTTGGGTTTTCCACTCTTTTTTTGTGTGAAGAGTTGCATTTGGCAACAGGGACTGTTCCACGTATTCTACGAAGACGCAGGCATAGCATGGACCCATGCAGGTGCCAATGGCCACCCCATTAGTCTGTAGGAAGTGGAAAGTGGAACAGTCCCTTTTCCACTGTTACACTGGCACTATTCCCCACCTCTTCCTCTGCTACATCAATGACTGTATTGATGCTGCCAGTAAGCTTGAACAGTTCATCAACTTTACTAACACCATTTACCCCAACCTCAAATTCACCTCGACCATCTCCAATACTTCCCTCTCCTTCCTGGACTTCTCTGTCTCCATCTCTGGTGACTGCCTCGAAACTAAAATCTACTTCAAGTCCACCAATCCCACAGCTACATGGACTACACCTCCTCTCACCCACCCTCCTGCAAGAATGTGATCCCTTACTCCCAAATCTTCCACCTCCACCACGTCTGCTGCCAAGATGGGGTGTTCCACTCCTGTACATCCCAGATGTCTTCCCATTTCAAGGATCGTAACATCCCCCCTCCGGTGATCAAAAATGCCCTCAACCACATCTCTTGCATTTCCCGCATTTCTGCCCTCACATGCCCTCTCCCCAACAAAAACAAAGACAGAATCCCCCTTGTCCTCACATTTCACCCCACCAACCACCACATCCAACGTATCATTGTCCGCCACTTCCACCACCTGCAATCTGACCCCACAACCAAAGAGATATTTCCCTCCCCAACCCTATCTATCCTTCATAGGGACCATTCTCTCCGTGACTCCCTCGTCCGCTCCACACTCCCCACTAACCCCATCACCCCCGGCACCTTTCTCTGTAACCGCAAGAAATGCTACACCTGCCCCTCCATCTCTCCCTCACCTCCATTCAAGGCACAAAACAAACCTTCCATTTCAGACAGGGGTTCACCTGCACATCCGTCAACTTGGCCTACTGTATCCGCTGCTCCTGATGTGGCCTCCTCTACATTAGTGAGACCAAGTGTAGACTTGGAGACCATTTCGTAGAGCATCTGCGCTCTGTGCACAACAAACGACACCACCTTCCGGTCGCCAACCATTTTAAATCCCCCTCCCACTCCCTGGGTGACATGTGCTTCCCGGGCCTCCTCCAGTGTCACAGTGACACCACCCAACGCCTCATTTACCATCTCGGGAGCCTACAGCCTGATGGCCTAAACATGGAATTCACCAGTTTTTAAATCTCTCCATCCCTGGCCTCATCCCATGTCCAACCCTCCCTCTCATCCCCACCTCCTTGACCTGACTCAACATTTCCATCTTCTCTGCCACCTATCCGCCCTTCCCATCCCACTGACCAATCTCCAACACTCCCTACCTGCACTCACCTATTGCCATCCCACCTACCTTCCCCAGCCCCATCCTTCCTCTCTCTATTTATTTCCCAGCTCTCTTTCCCCTCTCCATTTCTGAAGAAGGGTCCTGACCTGAAACGTCAACTTTCCTGCTCCTCTGATGCTGCCTGGCCTGCTGTATTCCTCCAGCTCCACACT